CCGCTTCTGCCGCCTGCTGCTGCTGCGCGGCGCGGCCGAGCTGCCCTTCCACCACCCCGCGCTGCTGCCGCTCTGGTGCTACGCCTCGGGGGTCGTGCTCACCTTCGCCATGAGCTGCACTGCCCATGTGTTCAGCTGCCTGTCGCTGCGCCTGCGCGCCGCCTTCTTCTACCTGGACTACGCCTCCATCAGCTACTACGGCTTCGCCAGCACTGTGGCCTACTCCTACTACCTGCTGCCCCGCCTGCGGCTGCTGGACGCCCGGGCGCTGAGCCGCTACCTGCAGCAGCACCTGGGCTGGTATGTGGACTGCAGCCTGCCACTGGCTCTCTACAGCTCGCTGGTGCTGCCCGTGGCCTTTGTGCTGGCCGTCACGTGCACCGTGGCCTGCTGCCAGAGCCGCTCCGAGTGCTGCGCCTATCCTTTCGCCATCCGCACCTTTGTCTTCGCCATGCCGCTCAGCATGGCCTGCCCCATCATGCTAGAGAGCTTCCTCTTTGACCTGCGGGCGCACAACCCCACGCTCTTCGTCTACTTCTACCGCCGCTACTTCTGGCTGCTGGTGGCCGCCTTCTTCAATGTCAGCAAGATCCCTGAGCGCATCCAGCCGGGCCGCTTTGACATCGTGGGCCACAGCCACCAGCTCTTCCACATCTTCACTTTCCTCAGCATCTACGACCAGATGCACTATGTGGAGGAGGGGCTGCTCAACTTCCTTAAGGCGCCACCCACTACTCCCACCTACCTGGGCACCGTGGGCTACATGCTGCTCCTCATACTCTGCCTGGGGATGGTCATCAGGAAATTCCTGAATGTGGCAGATCTCTGCAAGCAGGACTAGTCGGGCCAGATATTCTCCTTGCCCTTCTTCCTAGTTCTGCTGTTCTGAGAAGATGCTGCAAACCTGAGGTGAAACCCATTGGCAAAAGAGCCCACCCCCTTCCAAGAGGAGGTCTCAAGAGGAAACCACCAGTTGCGGACCTGCTAGAAAACTCCTGCTACCATTTAAACCACTAGGCCTTGAGAGGAAGCGATCAAGCCCTGCTGTTTAACAACCTGCTGCTGCTGCCTTGCTTTTAGGGTACGAGCAGAACCTGTGTAGCACTACTGTTCAGTCTACTAGGAAACAATAAAATGCATGGACTGTGAATGCCACTTACTAACTTCAGGCCAGCTAGTCTGGTTAGGAGATGTTATTTAAATTAGCAATATATGCACATGCAATGAGTATTAGTAGGTTTTTAACCAACTCCTATGTGGAATTCCCTATCAGATTATGCACTGACATTTTTCTTCTGTGCTACTGGAGTACCTCTTTGAGGTTATGAGCACTGAAACTGGATTTTAAATGCAAACAAACTGACAGCTCTCTGTAGCTTTTGTGGTATTATAGCCTCTGTGGCTAGTGAACTCAGTTGAGTGGACACTACTGTTAGGATTTTACAGAGAGAGGGGTAAAAAATATGAATGACGGAGTTGTAATCTAATCAAGGATGTCTGGTCAATTGTAAGAGTGAAGGTTGAGTGGCTGATGTTGGCATTCAAGTCCAAAGTGAAAATCTAGAGCCAGGTCCTTAGCTGGTGTGGTTTGGCACAGTGCCATTTTGAAGTCATTGCACCAGCAAGGGATCAAACCTATGTAGTCAAAACCCAGTTGCCCTACTCACACAAAGCACTGAATGTAAGGAGAGTAGGTTTTGGCCTACAGGCCTTCAACCCTACTTGTTTTGTTTTGTTTTGTTTTGTTTTGTTTTGTTTTTTTTAATTATGAAGTGTATAGATCTGACTTTTGCTCTTGAACTGGAGCAGTCAGGTACTGCCATCCTGCAACTACTTACAGAATAAGGTACTATGGAACATGAGTACAGGAGGCAGAATCTGGCTCTCTGTGAACACTAGGTATTATTAGTTTGATATCCTTCTGCATTTTCCTAATTCAGTATGCTGCTGCAGCAGCTGGGTGTTTTTGAAGCCCTACCTATGGGGCTGTGCCCTAGGCTGCAGAGGATCTGGAGGCTGGACTTTCCTTGAGTCGTCATATTTTGCCTGATAACAACCTTACTGATGAGTAGTTTGGGTTGGGGTTTTTTGGGGGGGTGGGGGTTGTTTTTAAATACAGCTATGAGTACCTTTTCACAGCAACTCAGGCATCACCTTCCTGAAAATTCCGTTCTTGTTAGTGACCTAACATACTATCAATACTAATAAATCTAGGCAAACTTTAAACAGGGTTATAAACAGAAACATTTTAACCTGATTCAGCTAGATAAATAACCAGTATGCAATAATATAATAGAAGGAAATTGCATCTTGACATTTAGATAACAGATAACGTGTACTTCATTTTCAAAATGTATGGTCATTCCTTAGTAGAACTCTAGCCTTGTACTGTACAGGACCCCAGTTGCTCTTTTCATGCAGCATATTTATCTCTATGTAGAAATACATTTCTAGCTGTATATTTATGTCCATGCATGATGTCTTGTTGTCTCACTTAGGCATAACTCTCATTGTCTTCAGCAGGAGTTTTGCCTGACTAGGGAATATAGGATCATGCCTTTAATTTGGGGTTGGAGTCCTCACGCAAACATGGTTGTGAAAGTTGAATGCACCAATGACTCACTTTTAGTGGTGGAGCTACCTCTAGTACTGTGGAGGGACAGTTTCATGGGGACAAAAATGCCTTCAGAGTCTCCACTTCCGTGAAAAGTGGGAGTTGGGTATCTTAACTCCTATTTAGGTCTCTAAAACTGTTTCCTAGACTACTTAAGCAGACTTCTCCCAGGCACAAGGCAGGTAGGCACCTGAAAGATCAGAGGTGCATATGCTTTTGTAGGTAACAGCCTACTTTGTAAGATGCTATGGCTTTTCCCACTGTAAATATCAGTAGGACTCCCCAGTCCAATGTCTTTTTCAATTCCCTCTCATGTGAGGCTCAGCCCTGAAGGCCTTTCATTTCTAGAACTCCCACTAAAACGAGAGAGAGTTTGGAATTTGCAGGGGACTTGTTTCCATTAAGAGGCTTAAACTGCTTGAACTCATAGATGTACTTTCCTATTCCCTACTTACTTTGGAAGCTACTTGGGGAAGAAAATTTCCCAGTTCCATACCATTGATGTGACAGTTTTTGAGGCATCTTGGGCCCAGTATGAAGGGTTTTCTCTCATGCCTTATGAAGTGGGAAGCTGAAGGAAAAGGAGGCCTGCTTCACTTTCTCTGTCTAAATACTTTTTAACTATTATGGTAAAATGGGCATTATGGAGCTACAGTATTTAATAATGCAATGAAAATATATTGCATTCATTCTTTGTCTGCTGTTGGGTTGTTGACGCATCACTTGTGGCTGGGCCACTTGTTGTGTCATAAAGGATATAACTAAATTAGACAAATCCTTGGATCCCAAGCTGTGATCCATGGGCATTACTGGCCCTGTGCCGCTGTATACTTTTTTCCAGCTGCTAAACTGCATTAAGAGATGCTAGAACTACATTAACTATTTTCCTGATATTCTTCCTCCACAAATGATTGTCATTGCCCATGGGATTTTACTCAGTTGGCAGTAAGACAGGAGGGGCTCTACACAGCTGTTAACAGGGATGGATGTTAGTCCATGAGAAAAATCTCTCCATTCATATGTGGTCCACGTTGTTAAATAAATACATTGCAAGCTCTTGTTAAAAATATAGGGCCAGTTCTTGGAACTGCGCCAAGCTACAGCCCCCCCTGGCTACATGGGGGGAGCATGCAGAGCTCCTGAAGTTCAGACCCATAATATTCATCATCTCTTACTCTCCATATATTATGCACATAGACCATGCTTGATATGTTAAGGACAATGTTGATGTTTCAAATACGATGCACTCACATTGGAAAATATTTTTTTAGCCCTGATGTAGGATGGCTTATACAGGCTTCAAAAAATCATTTATTTGAAAGGTTTACTTAGAAAATGCCATTAGGACATCAAACCCCCAATTAAGAACTGAAAAAGAAAACAGGGCAGCCAAGGACAACAGTTCTCAATGCTAAGAGATGGCTCAAAGCAGCTGAGTGTACAAGCTAAATGTAAAGGAAGTCTCTAAAGCATATTGCATAATGAGTTTTATTTGTGCTTGTCAGTCATGATGTAGAGGACATCTCAAGAGGCAATGTCAGAAAGGCCATACCTAACTTGTAAAAATACATTTGATATTTTCAGTTAAGCCATGTGATATCTATATCTATATATAGATATCTTCATTATCACCAACAGGTTAGTAGTTGAATTGACTAGATTGCAGTTATATCTAGAATCCTATTTACATTCATAAATGATGGTTAAAACTCCACCTAACTTGGAGATTTGGCACAAATACATAATATTAAGAATATTGCTTCATTCTAAACCTTTCTGTTCAGCAACATTTTTAGAGGCAGGTTGAACATCTAAGCCCATTGTGAGATGATTTGGGAAAGTTGATTGCTAGTATTGCTCCCAGAGTCATTGCCAATGGGCTGGAAAAGGTATGGGGAGAACTGATTGAGTTTTCAGAATTCTAACTAGTCGTTTTTTGTTTAAAATGCAGATAAATAAACGGTTACCATGATGATTGCCACACTTCTCTGCATAATTTCTAAGGCACTATTACTTGAATGTCTAATTATTTTTTAAAGGGTGCACACAATGATAATAGCACAATTTGATATTTTGATGGCCAGCTTTTCATGAATATGGACAAAAAAATCATAAGTGAATTGAAAATGTTAAAGGTGGGACAAGCCATTCACAACTCTGGCATCCAGTCCTGCTCTCATGGAAGTGAATAGCAAAATCCCTAATGGCTAAGTAGGGGAACACTGCCCATCCTAGACTTAACAAGCCTGCAAAGAGTATTTGGTGCTTCTGCAGGCACATCCACAACATGGACAAAAGGACTGATCTGTGACAGCTAGGAGCTAGAAGAGCATTTTAGGAGACAAAAACACTTGCCAGAAAATGCATTTCTAGCATAGGGAGTAGAGGGAGAACATTCTGTTCCTGGCCTGCTCCAAAACTTAAAAGAGAATCCACTTTAGGCATTATTTTGAAGGTACATGCAGATAAGCATTCTGGATTGGGGTCTTGGACTCTATGATAAGGCCGATAAATGTGTATGTAAGGTTTATTTCTTGGCCCAGCAGTGGCTTATGTGAGGAGCTAGCCTCTACAATGATAGCACACAATGATGTTACTTTTTGTGATGAGCTTGTATACCTAGAATTGTAGCTCAGATAATGATGTGTAGATGATGGCATCTAGCTTCCAGCTGATTGAGAACAACATGTAGCATTTGAACTAGAATAGGAAAGGTCAAGTGAGTAACATACCTGGCTTCTAGCAACTCTTCTACACTGCTGTGGCAAAGCTGAAATTCTTCAGGTGAGAAGCTTGGTGTATTCATTTGAATGTCAGCACCCAGAATGTCCACTCAGCTCCCAGCTGTTCCATGGCATAACTTGCATCTGTGCTCTGGAAACAAATTGGAAGGTTATAGATACACAGAGTTCTTGTCTGCATGCTGTGAGCATAGCAATTTAGAAGTTTGGACTAGGAACCTTCATTTATTTATTTTCTCTCTCATGCAAGAATGTTGTTTGTTAGTTTAAAATGTTCACCTCATCATTTCTTTGCTGAATCCAACCTAATGTATCATGTTTATGTCCACAAGAGAATGAGTTTTAGAGCTAGCTTCATCTTTTTTATAAATTCCATTGCAGTAAAATATTCCAAGCAGTACACTTGTAAGGAATTATTGCAGTATTTTACTGCTTAAATTCACTTGGTTGCCATCCACATGCCTTAAAACATGAAATCATGCATAGAGTCATCCTGAAGATAGGTACTTCATGTCTTGGGGCTACTAAGAGTCAGCAAGACCAAGTGGCCATAGGAGCCAGGAACTCCTGTGTTCTAACCCCAACTTTGCCACTAATTGCTCTGTAACCTTGGGCACATTATTTAAACTTTTTGAGGCAGATTCAATTAAGTTAATGAAAATACGTTGGAGTAAATTTGACCTTCTGCATCTCAGTTATTCCAGCTGTAAACAGGGATAACAGACCTTACCTACCTCATAGGGTTGTTCTGAAGCTTAGCTAATGTTTTTAAAGCACTTAAAATGCAAAGTTGCTAAGTAACATTACTAGAACTATGGCACAAAGAATGTCATATTCTGTGGGGTTCATTATATCACTGATAAAGGAGCATGAATGTTTCTAGAGTCCAGAACTCTTAGAATCAACAGCTAGACAGGAAGATAGGTCCATCTTGCAAAGGCTGTGATCTTATTTCCTGTGATGTCTATAGCAAAACTTCTGTTTAGTTCAGTGGGAAACTGTCTGGCTCTAAATGAATAGTAAACTTTTATTCAAGATCATTAATGGGAA